TTTGTGCAACATTCATAAATAGAAGTTAAATATTATTTATTTGTTTTTTTTAGCAAAATGAGTTCAAATAAAGCAGGACTTATGTTTATTAAAACTAGTCATTCATAATAATAATGGCACTGGTTTGAAAGAAAAATTCATTTTAAATACAACTTTTGGTATTGTACTACTACGTTCATGGTAAATTAGTATTCAAATGTGGCCTGCAGTATTATCAGTTCTTTTCAACTTGAAGTCTTGAATGGAAGTTAGAACAATGATATTTAGGTTATCTTTGGAAAAATTAATTGATAAGCTAGCTTATAGCTTATCAGTAGTTTTCGGACTTATAGTTTATAGCTTATGACTTATAGTTGAAAAGCTAGCTTATATGATAAAAGTGTTGGTAAAATTAGCTGATAAGCTAGCTAAATAAAAATTTGAACGAGCTTATTTGAAAAGCTACACTCGAGCTTTTTAAATAAGTTCGTCCTACCAAACGAAGCTTATTTAAATACAGGAAGCTTATAAGCTAACCAAATAATCTAGAAGCTAGCTTATTTGTCCACCAAACATTGCCATCTCGTAAACCGGAGGCACTTAAACTTGTATCAACAAGGCAGACATACATTACCAGTGTAAATAAATATTGTGGATATAACATGCAAAATACTCATCTTCTGGTAAAGTTGCAACTTGCAACTATGTTTAAGCATCCATGATTGGTCTCCAAACTTTTGATTTACTCAATTCATTTGACGAAATAGATTCTCCATCACAACCAAGTACCTCAGTTACTCAGTTTGGTTGATAAGACACAAAATATTCATTCAGATCCAAGTAGGCAAGAAATTAGATCAATGCAAAATGTAGAAAATCCCAAAGCAAAAGAAAACTTCGGATTAGATGGAGGTCCAAAGTTATCTCCAAGTTGTCCTATAATAAAGTATTATCCATGGATTACCGGAAAGGCTCAAATTGACTGTCTCACAAAAACTTCTACAACATCATGTGTAAATTCATTCCCAATTTTTCTGTTAAAGAAACTAAATCATATGAGGTAAATCTTCAATTACCCTCGTATTTAGGGTCCGCCATGACATAATGGTAAGCAATGACCAGCACGAATATGAAGATGCCGAGAAAGTTGGCAAAGAAGCCCAAGTCCTGATCATCAATCATCTGTTATTAAAAGAAAGGAGAGTGCATAAGCACCACAGATCCCAAATAAAAGACAATCGAATCTTTTAATACTGCTAGCGGCAATTTAAATCACGGGTCATAGACGAACTCCCTATCACAACTCGTGTTAACTCATCCACTAAATTGACAAGATATAGCCTCAATTCTGCAAATCGGAAAAGCATTAGGATACAATCTTCACTACTCACATGAATTGGTCCATCTATCTTGAAACCAGTGTTAACAAATTTCCATTTCACGCCATCCACCACTTATAACACTGCTTGGAACAATACAATTATCCTAACCGACTAATAATCAAATTTTCAGTGCTTTAAGTTAGAGTACTCAACTTATTTTGATTAAAACCACTTCATAATAAAACTAGGGTAGATTATCTAAACCATATTCCCCTTTTAAACACTTAAAAGTTTGGAACACGGACAAATTCGAAGAGGTAAACCTCAGAAAACAAAACCAGTTCAACGGAAAGTGCTACTTTATGCCATTTTATTGGCGAAATCGAACATTTTCCAGCAATCACGGCCTTTTTTTTCTCCAACCACCACTTAATGGGTACATATACAGCAGCTATGACACTCAAAAATCTCATCTTTCCTTCAGGAATTGGATCATCTAATGTCACATTTTCCCTACAAAGCTGAAAAAATCAAGAACCCCTCATCTCCTCCACGTCCTGCCCATATAAACAATCTCTCTACACAGAAAAATCAACCTAAAAATCTCGAGCAAAATCACAGAAACTACAGTTACTTTGGAAGCATTTCAAAAATCATGGTAGGCATAATAATCTGTACGCGATTGGAACTCCCCAAATCAAAACACACACACACACACACACATACAAAAACGCAACAGATCACAGACTGAATTATGCAATCTCGCCATGAAACCATACTCAATGAACAGATCAAGAGCTACAGATGAAAATGAAAAATAAAGAGAAAAGCAAAAGACAAACTAGAATCCGGGATCGTACTTTGAAATCGAGATGGAGTTGCAGAGTCGACGTCCACGCTGCTCTGATCTTGGAGCTCCAATCGAGAAAGTCGTCCTGAAAATCGATTTTTTTGATATG